GCTGTAAGACTGCAACTAAAACACAGCAGAAACGTATATTTCAAACTGCTCTGCTGTGTGTTTGTTCACCTTAGGAAATTGTATCAATGTTTGGATTAAGGGAGTTAGAAACACGTTTATTCTAAAGCTGCGTTTGGATATTCCAGAGTCTTTGGGAGAATATTGTGTAATGAGAAATACCTGGCTCTAAAGCAAACACGGAGCTATGTACTAGAATGGTTTTCAAGGTTTACATTGAACTTACAGAGTTAAACTGATGTGTGTATGTAGTAGTTCAGAAAATTTCCTTTGGAGAATCTAGAAACAGATATTTCCAGTCATATACAGGCATATAAGAATTAGCAGTAAGACTGTGTCCAAAACACAGGAGAAAAGTATATTTCAAACTGCTCTGCTGTGTGTACGATCACCTTCCAAAGTTCAATCTAGGTTTAGATTCAGCGAGTTAGAAACAGGCTTCTTCTAAAAGCAGCGTTTGGATATTCCAGAGGTAATGGGAGTACATGCTACAACAAGAAACATCTGGCTCTAAAATAAAAACGGAGCTATGTAGCAGAATGGATGTCAAGGTGTACACTCAACTTACAGAGGTAAACTCATGTGTGTATGTAGTAGTTCAGAAACCCTTTCTTTGGAAAACGTAGAAGCGGATATTTCCAGCCATATAGTGGCCTATAAGAATTAGCACTATGACTGCGTCCAAAACACAGGGGAAACATATATTTCAAACTGATCTGCTGTGTGCTTGTTCACCTTAGGAAGTTCCAGAATGGTTGTCATGGTGTACATTCAACTTACAAAGCTAACTTGACGTGTGTATATAGCAGTTCAGAAACAATTTCTTTAGAGAATCTAGAAACGGATATTTCCTGCCATATACAGGCATATAAGAATTAGCAGTAATACTTCCTCTAAAACACAGGAGAAACGTATATTTCAAACCACTCTACTTTGTGTTCATTCACCTTAGGACCTTACACCTATGTTAAGATTCAGCGAGTTAGAAACACGTTTCTTCTAAAAGCTACAATTAGGTATTCCAGAATGAATGGGATTATATGCTATAATGAGAAATATCTGGCTCTAAAACAAAAAGGAGCTATCTAGCAGAATCGTTGCCAACATGTACAGTCAACTTATTGAGTTAACCTGATAAGTATATGTAGCAGTTCAGAAACCCTTTCTTTGGAGGGTCAAGAAACGGATATTTCCAGCCATATACAGGAATATAAGAATTAGCAGTAAGACTGCGCCTAAAACAGAGTAGAAACGTATATTTCAAACTGCTCTGCTGTGTGTGTGATCACCTTAGGAAGTTGCATATACGTTTAGATTCAGGGGGTTAGAAACACGTTTCTTCTGAAAGCTGCGTTTGGATATTCCAGAGTGAAAGGGAGGATAGACTGTAATGAGAAATATCTGGTGCTAAAAGAAAAACGGAGTTATCCAGGAGAATGGTTGTCAAGGTGTGCAGTCAAGTTACAGACTTAAACTGATGTGTGTATGTAGCAGTTTAGAAACCCTTTCTTTGGAGAATCCAGATATGGATATTTCCAGCCATATACAGGCATATAACAATTAGTAGTGATCGATCCAAGATGGCCATTTTGGAACAGCTCAGGATTGCAGCTCTCAGTGAAAGTGCAGAAGGTGAGTGGGCACCGCATTTTTATTGCCCACAAACTAGGATGTTCCCAGGCGTAGGAGCTCCATGGGTCACCAGTGTGGCTGTTTCGGCCAACTTGGCTGTGCCGGCCCATGCCACTGCTTTGCCCCACGTGGCTTCTTTACCAGTGCCCCAGAGCAGTGGTTCTCCATACAATATACACCAGCAAGGGGGCCCTTTGGGCTGGCCAGTGGAGTCACTGCAATTTGCCCATTCTTCTGTTTAAAAAAGGGACTGAGAAGGGAATCAGGAGAGTAGGTTCCAGGGAAAAAAAAAGCACCACCAAGCTCAGTGCCGACGTTTAAGCCAGTGCAGTGATGTGTGGCAGGGGAAAACACATAGACCACCCCGGTGCCTCTTCAACAGGTGACTGGAACACCAACCTAAAAAAAAAAAAAAATCTCTGAGGGTGGGAGTCAGGCGATCAGGCTGGGCTGGTCCCACTACCACCCCGGCAAAAGAACAGCAATCAGAAACTCTCTGGATTGAGAGTTCACAGCAAGCCCAGCTGAACATGGGGTGGTCCACCTCTGTGGGGCAGGGGCGTCCGCCATGACCGAGGCAGACCGCCACTGCGGAGGTAGTCAGCCAATGCTGAGGTAGCCCACCATTGCCAAGGCAACCCGCCATTGCTGAGGCAGCCCGCCATTGTCAAGGCAACCCGCCACTGCAGAGAGGCTCTGCGTTAACAGACGTGGGCCACCATTGCCGAGGCAGTTCTAACTACACCCATATAAACAGGACTGCAGGGAAGTTCACTCAGCAGCTAGGCAGAGCCCACAGCAGCTCAGCAAAGCCTCTACAGGCAGACAGTGACAAGGCTGCCGCCTTGCTGGGCAGGGCAGCTCTGAAGGAAAAAAGAAAAAGAAGGCAGCAGCATAACGGAAACTCATAAAGTCCTAAATACCTGGGACAGAGCACCTGGGAACAAAAAGTGGTTTATGAGTTCTGCTGGAGCAGACCTAAACGTACCTTCCGAGCAGCTCTGAATGAACAACGGAGCTCACAGCTCAGCATTTGAGCTCCTATAAAGAAGAGACCGTGTCACCAAGTAGCTCCCTGGCCCCTGTATATCCAAAGAGCCACCTCATAAAGGAGAGATCAGATTGACATTTGGTGGATATCCTTCTGGGACAAAGACAGCAGAAGAAGAAAACTGGTAATACCCCTTACTGTTCAGCACCTGCTGCAGGTGAACCTCAGGCAAGCAGAGCCTAGAGTGGACCTCAGCAGACATACAGAAGAGGGGCCAGACTCCCAGAAGGAAAGCCAAGAAAGAGACATAACCTCATCATCAACAAACGGAACGTCCACTCAGAGACCCAATCTGAAAGCCAGCAACTACAAAGTCGACAAGTAGATAAATCCATAAAGATGGGAAGAAACCAGCGCAGAAAGGATGAAAACACCTGTAACCAGAAAACCTCTCCTCCTGCAAGGGATCACAAATCCTCACCAGCAAGGAAACAAGGTTGGATGGAGAACGAGTGTGATGAAATGACAGAATCAGACTGATTAAGGTGGGTAGTAAGACATTTCTGTGGACTAAAAGAACATGTTCTAATCCAATGCAAAGAAACTAAGAACCTAGAAAAAAGATTTGACGAAATGCTAATGAGAATGGACAAAATACAAAGGAATATAAGTGAATTGATGGAGCTGAAAAACTCAACACGAGAACATCGTGAAGCACGCATAAGCATCAACAGCCGAATAGACCAAGCAGAGGAAATGATATCAGAGGTCAAAGATCAACTCAATGAAATAAAATGGGAAGGCAAGAATAGAGAAAAAAGGGTAAAAAGGAATGAACAAAGTCTTCAAGAAATGTGG